CAAGTATGACACCAGATAGCTTAGCACAGCATTTAAAATATAATGAAGGTTTACTAACCCAAGCAAAAATATCATTAACACGAATTATGTTCTAAAGAAATATATTTGAACAGAAAAGCTGTTGAATGTAAGCAAGCAGAACTCTTAACATGGCTTTAAGAAACCACAAAATTTGAAAGCACAAATGAGGATGTGGCAAGATTTAAGGGGGAAAAAAAAAAAACAAAAAAAATTTTAATCACTTTCCCTGTCTAAATATAGTATCAACATTCATGCATAGGATATGTGGTAGTTACCCATTATGAACACAAATGATTATACAGGGTTCTGGAAGTATTAGAATTTAAAATTCTCAGAAATACCATTTCTTTTCCAGTTCTTGCAACTCGGGTAAAGAAGCCAGCATAACTAGCCTGGTTTCTGACTAGCACACTAATGAAAAACAATTCTTTCCACACACAAAGGAATGGATGTAGAAATCCTAAAGAAAGTTGTACAGTTTGATTTAAAAACAAACAAAAAAATCATTTATTTTGAAAAGTTTGTTCATTTTTATTGAAGTTCACATAGGCAGGTGCTAGATACCAGAAGARAGGTGGGGGGACGGGGACACGACAACAAAACCCTAACAGCATTTCATTAGGCATCACTGTAGAGCCCAACTCTAGCAAYAGAGCTGAGCAGTTTCTGTAATACAGATTTCAAAGTAGTCTTCAAAGCACTTCTGTTTACACGTGTTCTTCTGACACAAACACAAAAGGAAGACATGCTGTTTCCAGGCCCAGGACACAAAATTGTGCTATTATCTATATTTTAACTACATTTTCCCACCACATCCAGTTGGCTAGTAAATGGAAGCCTCCCTACATATACCTAAATCCTGGATGCCTCTTATGAGATAAGTGCATTCAGGCATCTATATTAAGACCAGTACTTAGTCAGCTAACCACAATACAGCAAGAGCAACAGGTGCTCCTGTTTACCTAAGGGGGAGAGGGCATGGACACAGAAGCGCTATTCATCTTGTCTCCTGGAAGGAGCCACTTCATACATGGGCTGCCTGTTCCAATTGGGACGTCAGGTTCAAAGTTTATATGCAACCTAAAATCTCCAATACAGGCTACTCAAAATCATATAGTTTTCATTCAAGTCCAAAACAGACCACTGCAAAAATTATTGTGGTCAGTTTGTATGGCTGATGCTCATGTGTTACTGATTTTTTTTTTTAATAATATTTAGATACTCTTTACAATAGTATTGTGTTTCATACAACCAAAGGAAAATCAGTTAGCTATTAGGTAAGCTATCAGCAAGCCACTCCAGACAAGGGATAAAATCTTAACAATAGGTCATTGATATTACTTCAGGTTTGGGACCTCTGGAATATACATATGTGTTTGGAAGGACAACACAGAAACGGGGGCTATTTTTTTCCACACATTTCAGAATGACTTAGAATATTTGCTCCTTTTTGTATTCATCAGAGCTCCATTCACCTACCAGGTTTTGCACCACTTGCAAAGAGATAAGCTACGTTTCCACCATTTATTCTATCCACCTCCCCCACCATCATGACTTGTCGGTTCCAGTAAATACCCATTAAGAGGCAYTGCCCGGGCACAATACAATGTGAAGATACTGGTTCAAACACGTTGTTTCAGATGCACCATTGGTCCTAGCCTAAACAAGTCCAAAGGAGCGTGTTCAGAGCAAGCTTGCCCTTGCACTGAAGTTGGACCCATTAAGCAAGACTGAGTCAATTTAATGGAGCCTATATAGAGAGAAAATACTGTTTAACCACATCATTTTCTGAACTTGTTTAGTTTAATTGGTACCATTTGCTGCCTTTTTCACAAGGTTTGGGAGCAGACTGCTTCCAGTCAGATTTCTTTGAATCTCCCAGTGACCACCCAGAGGAATTCTTCAGCTCCACACTGCAGCTCCCTCTCGACAGTCTGACAGGCCGCACAACCAGGCAGAAATTTCAGGCACATCACAAGATCATTTGCCCATATAGACTGATCATTTAAAATCAACTATTCAAAGATCTAAATAGGCAAGCTGAGGGCAGGTCCAACCTAGACACTTCCCTGCTACACGACTTAGGAGGAGTATTTGCACTCTGAAGCYGGCAAAAATCCTAGTACATATACATCAGCAAAAGGGCACTTTTGCTGGTATAACTTACTTAACTCTGCCTCAGTCATACAATTAAAGTCTCTTCTGCCAGTATGAATGCCCAGTTTATACAAGAAGAGTTTCTCAAAATCTTTATATCACCTTTTGCTGGATTAAAAGCATTTAATGTGTTAATCTATGAAATCTATTAATCTATGAAATGCAAGCTTTTGAAGTTGAAACTTTCTACTCTCGCATTGCATCTGGCTTCCACATAGCAACATGAATAATTGAAAAGAAGTCATGGTAATACGAAACAAAGCTTAAAATAATGCAGTACATAAATACCTACGGTCTAAGAAAAAAAAAAAAAAAAACAGAGAGAGAAAGACAGGACTAAATTTTTAATAGAAAAGCTGGGAGAAATTCCCCGTGCTTCCCACTGCAAAGATAGTGCTTGCATTTAGGGCACGCACACACGCACACAAAGCCTTAAAAACGCATTACAAAAGCATAATTAGATCTTTACTTGAACTTAAAGAGAATTCTAATGGCCTGACCTCCGTTTTTTTTTTCCTTTTGCGGCAAAGGCATGTGTTTATTTTCATCGTTTCAAGCAGACCTTGCTGCATTACACTCCAACGGAGCTCACAACTTTTGATCATCAATCGTTAACACAAAGATGATCCAGCTCCAAGCGCAGGCCAGGCAGTATCTTTGAAGGGAAGGTCGGCAACTCATTTTCCCCAACTGTTTAAGGAAAGCCCAGGGCCTACACGGAGCACCGTGTTCCCCACCACCACCCCCCACCCCAAACGGTAGCCTGAATTGCTGATCTAAGACACGTATTTCTCACCAAGTCTTGCGCCAACCCGGCAAGATGATTAGGGAGACAAAACAGGCACTAAAAAGAAGGGATTGGGGGGGGGAGGAAGGAGGAAAATGTCTTCAAATGAATGAGCGCGCACGGAGCCCTTCGCCAGAGGCGGGCAGAGCCCGGAGGGAGAGCGGCCCCGGGCAGCTCCGTGTTTACGGGCGAACCCCCTCAAGGCCGCCCGTGCACGGCTGCCCAAGGAGGGGATTCCTCTCCCCCGGCTTCCATCTCTTGAGGAGCCGGGTTTTTCCAGCCCCGCTGCTGCTGCAATGCAACAGCCGCCGCCGAGGGGGCAAGAGGGGGAAGGAGGCGAAGAAAGAAAGAAAGAAAGAGGCAGGGAGGGAGCCCCGCACGGCGGGGCACGGCGGCGGGGCGGGCGCCCCGCGCACCTCCGGGGAGCCGCGCCGGGAGGGGGGACACGGGGGACACACCAGGAGCCCCGCGACGTGTCCGTCCCCCCGACCCCCCCATCAACTTGGCCGCCGCGGGGGCCGGGCCGCCTCTCCCCTCCCCCACCCGCCGCTAACAATGGGCCCCTCCCCCACCGCGGGGCTCCCCTCATCCCAGCCCCGCCGTGCGCCCCCCGCCCCCCCACCCGGCGACCGTTAAGAGGCGGGAGGGGGAGAGAAAAGAGACGTTAACGGCCGCCCCCCCTCCAGCCCTCCGGGCGTCCCTCTCTCGCTCCCCGGGGCCGGCCCCTCACCTCATGGTGCTGCCCGGGCTCGGGGAGCCGCTGCCGCTCGCTCAGCCGCTCTCCGCCTCGCGGCGCGGGGGGAGACGGGGGGGTGTCACGGACAGC